CTCCGCCCTGACACCACCGCCAGCCTGAGTTACGAACGCCTTTTCGAACTCTGGCCCTGACACAGACGCCGATGCCTGTTTTTTCTGCCCATTACGAACTCCCATGTGACATAAACGTACTACCCCCATTATTATAATATAGGATGTTCATTTGCGTCACTCCTTGGCTCAACAGGTGGTGGGAACCAACAGTCTGCGGCGTTCAATCGTGATGTGAGTAGGTGATGTGCCGCTTCACTCCGTGTTGGATGTGTGGACGGCCTCGTATGCACTCCACCGCTGCCTTGCTGCCTGTCCCGCTTGCTTCGCATGTGGCTCCCTGCAAGCTGCTGTGTTCGCTGTGTGGTGTGGCCATGTTTGGGTGTTGCCTTGCGCTTCGCTGCTTCACTGCCTGGCCACCCTCCGTTGGGTGTGCCTTGTGTGTCCTTAACTTGCACACCTTGTAGTTCAGTTGCCCTGTTGGTGTTGCTTTGTGCTTCACCACATGGTTGCTGTGCTGCTCAATGACATCCACTCGCCCGGTCATCCCTTCCAGTGTTGTTGCCTTGGTGGTGTTGCGTTGTGCTTCACTGCCTGGTTGCCACGCTGCGTGCCGAGTTGTTCCTTGCCATCCTTCTTGGCTTTGTGCAGTCGTGTTCCCTCTACTGTGTTGCCTGGTGCTCCGCAGGGTTGCTGTACACTGTTATGTTCCGTTTTGGGGGACAGTCTGCCTTTAACAAGGGTCAAAGGGTTCATGACCCAAACCATCCAATACGGGGATTCCGCAGAATGTCGAGGGTTCAGCCTTCTGATGAGTCGGTGCAACTCCAAAGGAACAATCTATCATCGTCAGCTTTTATTGTTTTCGATCTTGGTTTTCTTTGGGACTTGTATTCTTTTTCTGGTTTGCCTGCTTAGTGTGTTTGCATGTTGTCTGCCATCTCGCCTCCCCGTGCCCTCCAGCCTGTGGTTCACCTCACTGCTCTTGTGCCTGGATGTCTTTTTGCTTGCTTGGTTTTGGCATGCCTTGATGGTTTCCATGTCTGCCTGGTGGCGGCATCCTTGTTGCACTTGCTTGGTTTTTGCATGGCTTGATGCTTTCCTTGTCTGCCTGGTCGTTGCATTCTTTTGTTGGTGTCCTTGCATCCTTGTGGGACTTGTTTGCAGCACTTCCGCGTTCCGCTACACTCCGCCTACTTCTCAATTATGCGTGTCGTTCTTGCGCAGGGTCCATGCTAGTGTTCTTTTTTTTTCTTTCTTTTTGGAAAAGGTCGCATTTCATTTCATGAATAGTAAAAGGAGGTCGGGAATCCCTCCGCATCTCAACCCAGAGTGCTGCTGGCCCCATTACCCAGATTGGGGTCTTGCTGGAAACCCGGTCCAGCGTCCCATCTACTGGGAGCTTTACCCAGCTTAGCTTTTCACCTGCCCCGTATTACTAGAGTCTAGAGAAACGAAGTTCATACCTTCTTCCCCCGAATACAACGTACGGTCATTATAGTTGTATTTGAGTCATCTTTCAGTCTAGAGACAGCTATAATGACTGTACCTTGTATTCGGGCGAAGAGGGTAGGTCTCTCTTTCAAAATTATAAATCTGTACGGGGGAGGGGTAGAGCAGGGGCATGTAACCCCAGAACTTATCGCCTGTGTCTGTAAAAATTGGGAAGTGATCTTAAACGCACCTAAAAGCTACCTAAAACAGCCCTCCTTGAGTCTAGATACAGCTATAATGACCGTACATTCTATTCGGGGGAGGAAGGTACCAACCCTACTGACTGGACCATAATGAACTGCCATCTTCCGCCAGACTGAGCGTACGGTCCTCCTCCGTACCGTTGTATCTACCTTCTTCCCCCTAATACATTGTACGGTCATTATTATAGCTGTATTTGAGGCATCTTTCTGTCTATATACAGCTATAGGAAGAAGCTACTCTGAAATTTGGGCTATAAAGACTGTTCCTTTTTTCTTTTTTTTCTTTAAGACCGTGCATTCTATTCGGGAAAGACGGTACCCGTTCATTCAACCTTCCAGGTATACTACGACGGACAGGTCAATCTACCGTACCTACCGGATGGTGTTAACTGCATAGCAGACACTTGAAAGGACATTCAGACAAATTCCACATCAGCAGCAACCATAAACAGACAACATAGGGAGAGGAAGAGGAAGGAGAAGGAGGGCAGGAAGAAGGAGAAGAAAGTGACACATAGAGAATCGTAAAGTTCGAGATGGAGGGGGCGAGATTGGAAGGACCAGAATTTACAGAAAGTGTTCAGCAACAGATCCAGACAGAAATAACTCCAAAATGGAATGGCGTCAGAACACAAATCCAACAGCTATCTATTCGGCCTCAGCTTTATAATGAACATAACCAAGTACAACCATTATCAGCACCAGTATCAAGACCACTGTTCCTTTTTTTTTTTTTTTTTTTTTTTCACCACTAGTACCTTTGCCTCATGCAAAAGTAGTGGGCCTCGGTTGGTCCTCTGACCTTTTTGGAGGCCGAAACGAAGTGACGACCGCCTATGTGACACCCGCGGCCTAGGCCTCGGGCATTTCGGCCGCTGCGGCCGCGAATCTTGGCCGCGGCCACGGCCAATGAGGCCCACTCCGCGGCCTGTTTTTTTAATAATTTTTTTTATGCAAGGAGAATAAG